ATCATACTCAAAAGTAAAAGAAAGGATAAGATAAATATAAAAGTACCAAACCAATGTTTTGCGACTGCTTTGACAAATATAATGGGAACGGAAAAAAAAGATAAGATGAAATATTAAAGGTAAGGTGATCGGATGATAAGACAATTAATTGATTGATTTTTCTTTACTTCAAATCTTATAAATTTAAAACTTACAATATTACGAAGTTGAGGCCTCTGTTCAATTGTCTCGTCGTAAGGATTTTTTCCCAAAAACTTCCGCTTCAATTTGTTTCGTAGAAACATCATCATTTGTTTAATAGTCTTAAACATAAAATCTAAGAACGTTTACCATACCATCGCGGATGTACAACAGAAATCATCAACTGAAAAAAAAATCAAAATTAAAAACATTTCTCGTTATTATACAAAATATATTTAGAAATTTAAATTTTATTAATAAATACCTTGTCATCTTTTAGTTATTTCCATGCATGTTCGACCTTCTTAACAGTATTATATGGCGTCAAAATATCAATAACGCCCAAATAATAAATGTAGTTGGTAGGATTATTTTGTTCGTCTGTGCCGGAAAAGCCACCATCGTCCATATTAAATCTGCACTTTCAGCGTCTAACGATAAGCAATGAACGATTTAAAATTTGTAACATTTTTATTAAAGAATATCTCTCGAATGGTCTGAAATTAAATTATGTGTATCTAACACGAGCTTTGTGGTCGAATGATCTAATTTCGATGGTTCCGTTTCCCCCTACTTCTTTTCGTAATTTCGAAGCTTTACTTTCCCGCTTATGACTCGAAGGGGTGCGCTTAATTTTCTTTGTATCTGGCTACATTAAATCAGATGGGCATATGAATTTTCAATATTATAAAAGGTTTTTTTTTTTTTTTTTTTAAAAAAAAAAAATGGATATACTTAACGTACACTCCCCGGTCAAAACAAAAGTATTGAACCAAAGATCTTATTAGATAAATTAGATTATAAGATAAACTAATCTTTAAAAATGATCGTAATCACAATAAATAGAGCCTGAATTTACTCTTTAGGAATTGTAAAAAATATACCTGTGATAATCAGAAAAATTAAAATTCTGATTTCTTTTTAGATTTTAAAATTAAGGAATAAAATCTTAATTTTAAAAATGATTGGTTTCAAAATACTAATGCTAATATAAATTGGAAAAAATCTACTTTGACCATTAAGAAGAAAAATATTACTATTTGAATTCTGATCATTTTTATTAAAATTTCAAAGATTGTAACCTTTGATGAACTTGAAGAAGTTTCAGAAGAAGACTATGAAAAAAAATATCTTAAGAAATGTTGATTTATTTTTCTGATTCCTCTGAGAAAAACTCAGCTAATCAGAGTGAGCTAGAATTTAATCTATAGATAAATTTCTATTCTTCAGAAAGTTCAAATTAAAACTGATAATGATGATAATACTGATTTGATGAATACCAAAAGAACAAATCTGACTATATTCTTAACTGAAGCTACCTAAGACAAACCTGTACCTATAAATCAAACTGGATCCTTTAACTATCATTAATAAGGATTCTTTCAATCTCTCTTAAGTGATTATACTAATATTTGTGTTAAAAATCAAATAAAAATTAGATAAATTAATCTAATTAAACATTAAATATTAACTAGAAATTCTATGTCTATTGCATAAACACTTTACTGAATTAATCCTAAGATTAGAATTTCTTATATAAGAGATTGTTAAAATAAAAGAATAAAGAATATTTAAAAATCTTATTTTTGAGCTTCATCTATAGTATTAGTAGATAAAATGGTAATAATTAAAGAATTTGTATTAACTATCGTAAGTTAAATGCTATTATTAAAGCTAATACTTACTCTTATTCAGATTTGATAACCTTTTGAAAAGTTTTAAAGCTACCTAATAGTTTACTATATTAAATTTTGTAAGTAGATACTAGTAAGTAGTAATGAATAAACTAAATATAGAAAAATAGTATTCATAAAATTTTTTAAACTATATGAGTTTTAGTAATACTTTTTAGACTAAGTTATGTATCTGAAACCTTTTAATAGTTAATGAATAAAGTATTATAGAACTTTTTTAAAGATTTTATTACTGTATATTTAGATGATATAATAATTTACTTTAAAGAAAGTTTTGAAATGCAAATAGATCATATGAAAGGTTTACTAAAAAAAATGAGCTCTAAGATTAATTTCTATTTTTACATAATATGATAAACAAAATTTGAGCTTTAATGTTAAGGTGAT